CAATACAAATATATAATACAAAAATTCGGTGCATCTCCTGGGGGCTAAGCCCCCCTTGTCCTTAAAACCTAGTGACACCCCTGGATTCATGAACGCCTTAAGTTAAAATTTTTACTTTTTTATATTTATTGAACTTAATATTAAAATAAGTGAGACTATTGCAGACTTAACTGCCATCATACTTTTTCACTTGACTAAATACAAACCACATTTACTGCTTCAGTACTTTTACTATTCGTCATTATAGAAGTTAAACGTAGCACAAAATAAGGAAATTTAGTGTTTGGTAGATTATTTCTTTGTCGAAGCTTCTTGGAAATAAATCTAATATTGTTGGAAAGCCTGTTAGTTTCCGTTTTAAATGGTATCACATTTGTAAGGAACATGCATTTGTGGGATGAGCAGCAGAGCTGTGTGAGTTGTGAACATTAAAAATTAGCCAGATTTTCTGCCAAACGGCTGATTTTACTGTTTACTTTTGTTTTGAGCTTCAGGTGCCTGTTATAAGATTTATTGTTACAACAAATGAATAATCTACCAAACACTAACTTCCTTACTTTTTCTACAAAGCGCATCATTTTTATGAGCCATAGACAGCTTGTAGCTGCAGTTAAATGTAGAACATGTTTGTCATAGATGTACATTCAATGATTACACTTAAGTTGAGGACAAAAAACATTAACACCACTCTGACAGTCTGTAAGCTAATGAAAAAAATTAAATGTATATATTTATTTATTGTAAAATGTGATAAATCCAGAGTTTGACCTGATCTGTCTCCATCAGGTGGGAGAGTTTGGTGCTGGTGCTCATGTACGCCGGATACATCCTCGTCATGAAGTGAGTGCTGCACGTTCTCCAAACGCCTCTTTGTTTAAACAAGCATGTTTAAATTCTAACATCTGTGAGCTGAAGAGTATAAACGGCTGCACTCAGGAGGGCGTCCTGTTTCTGTCTCCTGCCCAGATGGCTTTTTGTGGTGATGCTGAACATTAAATGTTGTCGTGTAACTTTTTAAACATGTTAAACCCCATAACAAAGGGCAGTTTGACTTTTTTATTTAACATTTAGCGACTAATACATGTCACCTCATTTAGGTATTTTACTTACACAATGAGTGCGTCATGCTGCATCCGTTTACTGAAATAATTAAAGTCAGAAGACGGTCAGCATGAGCTCCCTCCATTAGGCTTCACTCCCTTAAAGAACACAAACCATGCTGCTGTGTGCAGCTGCTAATCTGTGCTCCACTCAGCAGCAGCCTGCTCTCTGCTAGAAGAGTTTAATCTTTTCCCCACTGCAGTGGCTAAGAGCTCAGGCTTAACTGGATCATTCCTCTCCTTTTTTCATTTGGAGGAATAAATGCTTGCTGCAGGACATGCAGTCGTTTTGGGCTGTTTGAGTCAAAACTCATCAGTTTTTTATTCTAGCTCAATGGGAGCTCTGAAATGACCTCCTGGATCTCTGGTGGGAGATGGTGTTTCCTCGTTCTTCCTTATCAAATGTTTGGGGGAGGAGTCCCAATCAGCTTGTGGATGTTTTTTTTTTTAAACTAAATATTACAACAAAAAATTGACAGGCCTCATGAAACTTCTGCTTCATTTTGAAAAACGATTAATTAGTGTTGTATAAAGTACCACAAAGTGAGTAAAAGTACAAGTATCTTACAAAAATAAAGAATTTGGTAAAAGTTAAAGTCTCCTTTAGGAATATTACTTGAGTAAAAGTCTTAAAGTGTCTGCTATTTTATGTACTTAAGTATTAAAAGTCAAAGTATTGATTTTAAAATGAGCAGTTAGATTTTCTGTAAGGACATTTATTAGGAGGTGACCTCCCCAAAAACTGCAGAAATGACTGTTGTATTAAAAGAATGAATGGATGTTAAATTTAGGATGCACTAGTCCAGCTGTTTCAGTTTATATACATATATCAAGGCTGCACAAAGCTTTTCCCCAAAATGAAAAAAAAAATGTATACGTGTAAATGTATGTATGTATATATGTATGTATATGTGTGTATGTATGTATGTATATATGTATGTGTATGTGTGTATGTATGTATGTATATATGTATATATGT